TACTTGAATCTTGAGTTTATTGATGATCTGAAGGATTAAGGGATTATTTCACACTTTTCTCCTCTCAGAATGCCACAAATTAATGGTGTTGACGAGAAAATAAATCAAATGCTATTGGATATGTTTCTATCTATGATGCTTGAGTTACGCTTCGAATTAGTTACTGGGTTATTCCCTAGATATTGCAGTCGATATATTAAACATCCTACCAAATAAGAAGTTCACCACAACACTTTTTGAAATGTGGGATGGGAAACCACCCAGTCTTGCACATTTGAAAATATCAGTTTGCATAGTGTTCATTCATTGTGAGGTGAACGATAAATAAGAACCTAGAGTGGGAAAATTTTACTTTGTAGGCTATCCTCAAAAGCATTTTGGATACCTGTTATATAATGATTCTGAGAACAAAGTGTTTGTATCTCGAAGGGGATTCTTCCTCGAGACGGAGCTCATGTCCAACGAAGTTAGTGGGTGACCAATAGATATTGAAAAGATTCAAGAGTCTAACAAAGAAGAACTTGTAGTTAAATTTGGCACTCAACTCGAGGTTGATCAACATGTTGAGTAAACTGACATAATTCCAACTCCTTCATTTTGCATATCTAATAGAGTTTGTAATCCTCCTGTGTTTTATGGTTTTCATATATATATATATATATATATATATATATATATATATATATATATATATATATATATATATATATATATATATATATATATCTTATTTCCTGCAATATACAAATACACCTCATATAAGCAATCTACCCTATCCCGTCGATCCACACATTTTAATCCTATATAATGACATAATCCATACTCTCAGATTCAGAAATGAATGGATTTACCCAATCTATACTCTCAGATCTTGAATGAATGACTATGTCTAATCCATACTCTTGGATTAGTGAAAAATGACTATACCCAATCCATACTCATGGACCAAGGACGACTGAGTATGCCTAATCCATACTCTCGGACCAGGAATGAATGACTATGCCTAACCTATATTCTCGGACCAGGGATGTCAAAATCCTACTCTCTGTTTATGTCTCGCAAGTAATCTTAAGAAGATGCTACCCATTATCCAACTTAATTAAACTGAAGCCTCTTTTTCAAGGCTTATATTATCTCTTGGTAAGACTACAATGCCCAACTCCTAATACCAACTATGTTTAGACAACACTATCCTACTTTAGTGTATATACAGTATTTAGGTATTAACAAGCCTTTATCCTTCTTTCTAATGATACTTCAATTATTATTATTATCATGAAATAATAGGTATATATCTTAACATATATAGAAAGATACTTGGTTTGCATATCATATATTATCAAATATGTTCTTAAAACATATTCTAGGCAATAAACATATATCTCACATATAAACTCTTCAAAAAAATATTTAATATTTTAATTAATACTTGTATTAAAATCGTGTTCATGAAAGGGACTATGTACCCACTTGATAAAAGTGGATGCCTCGAAACTTGGGCTGAACTTCGCCTTGGTATTTTATCTTTTCCACTAACGTGACCAAGGTATAAATATCACTAAGTCTTAGTCTTACATTCCTAATGACTAATGATAGTTAATATTCCTCACTAATCTCAATGTCTACATCAAGATATATCAAGTAAGGAACAACCAAGCATGAACTTTTTTGAAATCCAACAACCAAGCCAACGTGACCATTCTAAACACCTCTCTCGTAAGTAGATAAATCAGTATAATGACTTGGAATTACTGATAAGTCTTATTTATAGGTTCATAATTATGACTTATGACTATAAATATAAGTTACACTAAAAACAAAATAGTGTAGCTTAACTTACAGAGCTTTTAGCGAAAACTGGGAAAACGTGCGGTCAGAATAAACCGAAAGCTCCTATTTTTCGGATTCCTAGACCCCTAAAAACCTTGCTAAATACCCTTAGGAGCCTCAAAAAATTGGACTCAAGAAAGAATGGTATTTCTGAGAGAAATGAGTGAATTTTTGGTGTGAAAATGAAGAAAATCGGAAGGAGTATTTATAGGATAAGAGGTACGTGTTGCAAACCAGCCATACGCGTGTCGCACCCTGCTGCTGACGCAACTCCTTTCGATGCTCGACACGTGTCGCCGTATCTGTGGTTCACCTCACTGCTTCTAGAAGGTTGCTACGTGGCTTATTCTTGTGGTAACCCAAGTCACATCCACGTTACGCCATGTCACCATGTCTTGCGAGAGAGTCCCGCAAACCAACAATGCCACATGGCGCACTCCGGTGCTGCCACATCATTAGTACAATGCATTTTTGCAGATCTTCAGATGACCATAAATTTCGCATTTGAGCTTCGTTTTCAACGTTCTTTATATTCTCGGAATCCTCTCGACGAGCTCTACTACTTTTATTAAGGTCTCAACACCTAATTCTTGCTCTAACAAAACTTCATATTTAGCTCGGTTTAGACTGTAAAAGTTTGTGCGAAATTCATAACTTTTCCATACGAATTCCGTTCTCGACTGACTTTTTATCACATGTTCAAATTCACAAGATCTTCAATTCTGGTTTAGATTACTTTGGATAACAATCAACCGTTTATAATTTCAATTTCTATGTCCGCATTGTTGCACTGAAATTTCAAAAAAATCATAACTTCCTCTCATGAATTCAAATTTGGATGTTCTCTATATGCAACTCTTAATTTTACGACTACTATAACTTTTGTTTAGGTCGCTTAGTCTGAAATTTAATTTATTAAAAATTCACTTTTTACGATATATACAGTCGTGCCAATTTAATTAGGGGTGAGCATAGGCGGGTACCCGCCCTATTTGTCTGGAACTGGAACTGGAACCGGCGGTTATTGAAATGTTAGAATCGGAACTGGAACCGGTATAACCGGTTCTTTATACTTTTCCATACGAACTCCGTTCTCGATTGACTTTTTATCGACAAGTTTAAATTCACAAGATCTTCAATTCTGGTTTAGATTGCTTCGGATAACAATCAACCGTTTATAATTTCAATTTCTATGTCCGCACTGTTGCGCTGAAATTTCAAAAAATCATAACTTCCTCTCATGAAATTAAATTTGGATGTTCTCTATATGCAACTCTCAATTTTACGACTACTATGACTTTTGTTTAGATCGCTTAGGCTGAAATTTAATTTATCAAAAATTCACTTTTTATGATATATAGAGTCGTGCCGATTTAATTAGGGGTGAACATAGGCGGGTATCCGCCCTATTTGTCTGGAACTGAAACTGGAACTGGAACTGGAACTGGCGATTCTTGAAATGTTAGAACCGGTATAACCGGTTCTTTATATATTGGAACCACTCCCGAAACCGTCAGTTTCGGTTCCGGTACCGGGTACCCCGTTTCTAAGCTTAAATTTGTATTCACAACTAATTTTTTTATTTCTAAACACAAAAATTAATTATAAACAAGTTATATATATATATATATATATATATATATATATATATATATATATATATATATATATATATATATATATATTATAATTGTCGGTTTTTAACATAACCTTAATAGAGAGCAATGCACAATGTGTATTCATAGAAATTGTGATTATGAATAATAATAATATTAATAACATCTTGGTGATAGAATATCACATGACCATAACAATTTCCATTAGTCAGGAGAGGTTTGAAGTAAAAAATAAAAAATAAACTGAGAAATCAAAGCAAATTTGATTACAATTTAATGATTTACATCCAGTATCAATGCAAATTTAATTTCTCTAGGTCATGAATGTAGTTCACAAAATTTAGCATGTCCTTATACAAATGAGGGAAATAACATAAGGAATACAGTGGCCCCTAAATCATGAAGTAGAGTTAAATCAAATTTATTTAAATCGTAGATACCTCATTCAATAATTACATTATTAAAATATTAATTTACTAATTTACATATAATTATACTATCGTTTTTCTTGTATAATCATTCTTAAATTTAATTATGGATAGCTTACTTATTATATTAAAACCAAAAATATGGTTTTATTGTTTTATAAGGCAGTCATTGGGACCGGGTACCTGGCGGGTAGCGGTTCCAGAAAAATAAGAACCGGAACCGGAACCGTTTAAGGCGGTTCCAAAATTAAAAGAACCGGAATCGGAACCAATTAAGGTGGTTCCGGTTCCGGAACCTGTGGTTCTGAGACGGTTTCGGTTCTAAAAGTTTGTACCCGGTTCCGATGCTCACCCCTAGATTTAATCACGAAACTTCGAAGAAGCATAATTTTGTTCATACGAAGTCGGATTTCAGCGACCTTTTATGTACGGAATTCTTGTCATATATACTATAACTTGGTTAAAATTATTTATCCTAAGAACAAATTACTGAAATCGTCCCTGTGGTTTGGAAAAAACTACTGGTTTGGTCCCTAAGTTTGTTTTTGCACTCGAACCGTCCCTAAGTTTATAATTTTATTGCATTTATCGTCCCTTTTAGAAATGAGAATACTATATTACCCTTTGCACTTTTTTTTTTCCAGTTTTTATTATCTTTTTTATTATTTATTGATTTAATAAAAGCAATTAAGTGATTTATTGGGACCCAACTCCCACTTGCAGCACAACCACCACCGGTCACTTGTCATCGACAATCACCACCAATCACCAACACCAACACCATTCATTTATTCCAGCACCACCACTGCCAACGTAATTAGTTTCATCAGGTGAGATCCAAAGATTAAATCCCACTAATCAAAACCAGATCAAGATGAAAGAAAAATCATATGAAATCCCAAAATCAAGATCAAATCCCAAAATCAAAACCAAATCAGAAAATCAAAACCCAAAACCTACCCTGAAATCGTTGATGAAAGAAAAATCATATGAAATCCCAAAAATGAAAGACGATTTTGAGAAGAAACGAGGTTAAAGGGGGAACGATGCTCTTTGCGATTTTTTATTTGGCAGTCCAATTTCAAAATTTTTTGATTTTCTCTTTCTCTGATACCTTGCTCCACTTATGGCGGTGCTGATTCCTATTTCAGAAAATCACCCGGTCAGTAACACGATGATGGTGGTGGCTCTAACTTCAGTAAGACGGTGATGGTGATAAGAGGTTTGAGATATGGGTTCAGTGATCTTCGATTTGAGTTCCAGATCTTATATTGCAGATCTCCATTTTCAATTTAAGATCTCCTTTGGCAGTCCAATGGAGGAACGAGAGGGAAAAAATCACAGTGAGGGTGAGTGTTAGGGTACTAATGATGGTTTACCAATTTAGGGGGAAGAGATGATGGAGGTGGGTATGGGGTAGCGGGTGATGACATATGGTGTCCGCTGGAGTTTTGGTCCTGCCGAAGATGGTGGTGGTGTGTGGTGTTATATCATCAGACTTGATAATATACAGGAAGAAAAAATAGGAGTGGGATCTATTGTTTGTCGGTGTTCTAGTCTCCTCGGAGTTTTGGTCTTGCCAGAGGTAAGAGATTTTCCGACGGAGATGGTGGTGGCGTATGGTTGTTCACCGGAGAGGTGAGAATTTGGAATTGATTTCCATGGCGGTGTTAGGATTAGAAGTGTTGGTGATGGGGATGTTAAGTGTAAGGATATAATTATGTGGGACACATTTAATTAATTAATAATATAAATAACTCTAACAAAATAAATAAATGAAAAAGAAAATAGAAAAGGATATTATAGTCTTTTCATGTGTAATAGGGATGAAAGACGTAATAAAACCAAAAGCTAGGGACGGTCTGAGTGCAAAAAAAAAAAACTTAGGGATCAAACTAGTAATTTTTACCAAACCACAGGGATGATTTCAGTAATTTGTTCTTATCCTAAATAATATTCTATCAAAAATTCTTTTTTAATGCTTATTCTATTTTAATTGACTAGCCCGATGTTGCGGACATTACAAGCGAAGCCTTTGAGCGCCAGAAGGCCCGATGAAGCAGTGTTGTTGGTTTTGAAGTTATGTCTGCGCAGTCTGGTTTCCACTAAACGACTTGTAAGTTGAGTTATACTTATTGTGATTTAAGTGTAACTTATATTTATGTTCATAGTTGTTATTATGAACTTATAAATAAGATTTATCAATAATACCAGTCGTTATACTGATCGGTCTACTTACACAAATGATGTCTAGGTTAGATCTGTGACATGTTTAAAGTAAAATTTCCAAACAGTATATCTTTATATGTCAAATGGATCCTACCTCTGATATAATCTTACTCGATCGTTCCTCATTAACTATAAGTCAGTATTCTTATTCATTTTGGATTTTTGATAAATATAAGAAACAGTATCACTAATAATATAAATGATAACTGAAATGTAGTAATGTTTATATCTAGACTGAAATGTAATAATGTTTATATCTAGGCCTTTAAAAAGAAAAACTTGAAGTATTAAGCGAAGCACATGCGTAAAATGGTATGTCTGTTTCCGAAAACCGATAGGTATGTTTGAGTCATCACCTAGAGTAGGATGATAACACTTATTTATTCTAAATGCTCTTAAGAATTACACTGCTAGTATGGACTTATAACCCACAAACATAGATATAAAATAGGATATCATATTTATCAATACCCTAAACATTGGTTTCTTTTAAATGACTTACACTAGCCAAAGAATCCCCTAGTTGTGGAGTCAATCAGTTGCTCAAACGATTCTTCAAGTAAGGTGATTCTTCCAGATGATCATTGAGTTAGAATCTGTGAGAATCGGTTGGACGGGGTATGTATGGGTAAACAGTCTTGTAGATATTTGTGTTGGTTTAATTATTTATATTGTCACACCCCCAAACCAAGGATGTCAAATCTCTCCGAAATCTCTCCAAGTATGTGAAAACTCTCGCAAATATCTCTGTGTTCGAGAAATCTGTCCAAGAATGTCAAATCTCTCCCAAATCTCTCCAAGTGTGAGAAATCTCTCCCAAATCTCTCTCAAAAGTTTCCCGTAACTTTTTAGAATCATTCGGGTCATTCCGGTCCTTAACCGGGTAAAAAACGGCTTAAAACGGGGTAAAAACGAGAAAAATAGACCTTAGGAACCGAAACCCTTCTCAAGGAGCCAAAGCTCCTTAAGGCCGAGACCTAAGACCGAGAGCACAGACCGGACCAAGCCTCTGTTGGCTGAACCCGGAGGACCGAACTCCTGTAGATGAGACCGAGTCTCGGTCTCTGTCGCCCCTTTTCTGTCGCTTCTCGCACGTTCTGTCGCTTCTCGCACTCTCTGTCTCTACTCCGCCTCTCTGTCTCTACTCCGCCTCTCTGTCTCTACCCGCCTCTCGGTCTCTGTCTCCTTCTCTCCTCTCTGTCCCTTCGCGCCTCTCTGTCTCCTTCTCTCCTCTCTGTCCCTTCGCGCCTCTCTGCTCCTTCTCTCCTCTCTGTCTCCTCGCGCCTCTCTGTTCCCTCTTCTCCCCTCTCAGTTCCTACTCTCCCTCTTCTTCCCTCTCGGTTTCTACCCTCTCTCCTCTCAGTTTCAGCATCAGAAGGCCGAACCTCGGCCAGATTTCGGAAATTTGTCACTTTTAGCCCCTTTTTGATATTTTTAACATTTTAAGCCCGTTTTTCGTGATTTTAAAGCGGGATTTTCTCCAGAAATTATATTTTAACATAATAAACTCTAAATATTCATAATTTAACCATATTTTGATGAAAATCATTATTTAAATAATAAAAATCAAATGAGTGAATTATTAAAGGTGGAGTGTTGACTTTGCCTTATCCAATGTCACAAGCAACCACCTTACACCCACTCTATGACCAGCCATACCTCCCCACCTTACCTAGGTCACTTCTATGTCCCTTACACTCAATTTACACTCATTCCCACGTTTTTAGAGCTGGAACAAACATCCTATCTCCTCATTTCTCTCATTTGCTATCATTTCACTAAGTATCAAACACCACTTTTCTCTCAAACTTTTTCCACTCCAATTTCGAGATTCAAGGCTGATTTTCAAGTGTTCTTCCACTCTTAGTAAGTATAATTCATCCTCCTTATGATTATTTCACTTCATTCTACTCAAATCATGGATATCTTACACAAACTCCATCATATTTGCGTTAGAGCTTCGAATCTTCAAGTGATTCTTCAACTGTTCTTGGGTTGAACACTTCTCTTCTTCAACACTTATCTACTGAAATCACTCAAGGTGAGTTCATACCCCTACATTTTCATGTTTTCTCAAGTTTTTAAGGGGGGAATACAAGTTAAAACACTAAGAACAAAACTAAAATTTTCTAACAGCCTTCATCAGAAAAGTTCAACTCCATTCACGAACTGTTTTGGGCATCTTAAACATTTTTGTTTTCAAAACTGTACAAGGTGAAAATAGTTCAAGTACTTAGATTTAAAATGACTACTTGCACATCTCCATACGATTTTTCTACAATTTATGGTGATTTTTACAAAACTGACTATCATTTCAAACAACAATCCGGACCAGTCTGTGATTTTGGACTTATTCACCCAAGTTGGAGGTCGTTAAAAATCGTGATAAAAATTATGAGTAAACTAGACACATTTTGTGAACTCTCAGAATTTACGGATCTAGTTTTTGACTTCGTATGATTTTTCTATGATTTTTCCAAAACAGGGCAGAATGGATAAAGTTAGCCAACAGCATGTAAATATCATAACACTTTGTATTATGTTGAGCAAAGTGTATAATCATAAGTTCTAATTATTGAATGTGTTTCCTTGTTAGTTTGTCATCATGAACTGAAACTAAGTAATTCATAATAAATATTAATCATTCATTTTAGAACACGTATATTAAACTATAAAGGTATAGTTTGATAAATTCATAACACTAATACATTTTCATAAAAGAGTTTATACATATTACATACATTTTAGATAAACTATAATAGGTATAGTTTATGATACATCACTCAACACACTCGTACAAAAAGGGTACATTCATACAAAAAGATTTATATTCACACACATTTCACGTAAACTTGTTAACCTATATTGTGAGACTCTCTCTCTCCCCGTACGTCCGAGTGCGGGATATAATTCCTGGTAGTTATAATCAGAATCTCCTTGAGGGAGAACGTGATACTTGTATATAGATCTATATTGGGTTTGACACCCCACACCTTGCTGCTAGCTACAGTGGGACCTGCAGGTCTACGGGTGACAAATGTCATTTCAGTTTTCGCGACGCCTGAGAACGTCGTGGCAGGTTCACATAGTCATAGTATGATTATAGCGACTCACATAGGGATATAACAATCCATAAGTTTACGGGATTTTATTTTTAAAACCTAAATGAGTTTTATGTCGATTTAAAATCACTTTTTACTCTATGAGTACAGATATTACTGTACACTTTGGTTTTGGTAGTTACGACTACACATCATTTGAAACCACATTTATACTTTAAGTATGGTCAATACTTGTTATTTCTCGGTCCTCTAATTTAGGACTACATATATATAAAGTATTAACAAACATGAGAACATACAGAAATTTCATTTAATTCAAACGCGTCCATGTCCATTTAAGCACATAACATTTTCTATTAATAAGAAAGGTTAATTATACATTTTGGTCTTCAGTCATAAGACTACATTACACAAATTTTAAAGAAAATATCGGATTTTCTGGATACATATTCTAACGCTTTTACAAGGAAAACGATTTACTTTTCTAACGAAATCTCTTATGAACTCACCAACCTTTGTGTTGACACTTTTCAAAACTACTTGTATTCTCAGGAATTCAGTGAAAACAGGAAATCAACAACGTTTTGAGGATGGGACGATAAATCGTCAAACAGTTCATTTTGTATCATAATGTAATTGATGTGAATCATGTAAACATGTGCTTTGATGTAACGTTTTCAATTATATTTGTGTTGGTTGTATTTACTTTGAGCACTATTATACTCATTGTTGTGATACTCTACATGAAGTCCTCCACCCCCGGACGTTTCCGCCATCCTTGGTTTGGGGGTGTGACAAATTGGTATCAGAGCATTGTTTATAGTGAACTCAGTATATCAAACCACATAAGATATACAAACTATAAATGCATTGGGACTAAGTCTCTGATTTAAAGTTTCAAAACAACTATACCTTTAGAAACAAATAGTTTCTTATTAAAGGTATACATGCATACATACATATTAAGGTCAGCACCACTCTAGAACAAAACAAAAGTAATGATTGTTGGATATCACAGGTAAGCTCGGGGATGTACGGTCAGTCTTGGGAGTAGCATAGCCTGATCAACTATGCTGGTCCGAGGAGTGATTAGCACATGCCCAAGAATAGTTATGATATGGCAACAAGTCTAGAAACTTACCAACACTACCACAATGAGAACATTAGAACAGAACATGAGTTTAAAATACTATAGGAGTATTTTGTAATATCATAACTTATATGAAGACTAAATAGATCCTTAATAATAGGTCTATAGTCCCTAAGTGGATACTTTAAGGTTATATATAACTTAGAAATTATAGACTTAGAATTTGTGGTTTATCGTATCTTGTTATATGTAATTAGTATG